TTTAACCCTTTGTCACCGACTCGGTCCCGGTCATTCCCCTCGCTGGCCAGCAGAGGCTGCCATCTCCGGACTTTTAGCATTACATCATCCATCTACACTAATTGCGCATACACCTGATCTGAATCTTGTTAACGACCCACGTACCTCATATAAGCCGCACTCAAACACTCAGTCAGTGCGAAGTCTTGTTCAGCCCCGGCCAGCATTACTGAGCGTTATATCCAGCCTGATCTCTTTTGTACAACACCAGCCTGTCTCTTACTTTGCTTCGCCTTCTGCCTGCCCTCGACCCACGCCTGATATACAGACTCTGATTCTCGCTGCCTGCCCTCGACCCAAGCCTGATACACGGACTCTGATTCTCGCTGCCTGCCTTTGACACAAGCCTGATACACGGACTCTGATTCACGCCCACTGCTCTCTACTCATGCCTGGTAACTCACTCTGTGTCTGTTCACCGTCATTCTTGATACCATTACTACTACTGTGGATGTGTGTGTGCACCTAGGTGCATATTGTGTGTTTGAGTGAAGTTGTGATTAATAAATACTGCATAATGGATCCCTCCGTGTCAGTCTCCTCGTTACACCCTTTGACTGCTCTACCAAATCGTAGACCATGTTTTGGCTGTTTTAAATAATGTAATTTAATGAATGACTGTTTTAAATAATGGTTTACACATGTTAAATTAGAATCTGAAAAACAAATATGGCATACTTCAAAAATAAAGATTTAATTTATTTTAGTTTGTTTTTAAATAAATTGGTCTTACACTTCATATTTTTCATAGTATGTGTATTAATTTTGGTATCTTTACCATGAACCGACATAATAACCTTTTAGTTTTGGTTGATATTTTAGATTTAGACTTTTTTTCTTTTCTTGGTGGGGAAGTTATTAGGTTAATGCTCATTATGGCTGAATTGATTTTTAGCAAAGCACACAGACACACAAATAGACATTAGCATTTAATAAGCTTTTTATGTGTATAAAATATTTCAGTAAATTTTGATATTCTAGGGCAGAAACCAAAATAAGACGCCTCATCAGTGACCCATATGCTGTTGTTAATTACTTAAATAAGTGAATTTATTCATAAACATTTATATCTGTTTATTATAAAACAAGATGATTAACTGTAAACAGCATTTATAGTGATCACCCACATGAGTGAGCAGAAGAAGGCCGTCCCGCATGTGTGTTACATGATCACACTGTTCTCCGTTTCCTCCATGCCTCATAAAACCCAGGCCCAGAGGGGCTTCTTAAATTATGCAGTTCTCTCGGTTTGAGCTGCCATTTAACCACAAGCTCCACAGAGCCTGCATGGCACTGAGTCCAGCCATATGGCCCATGCGTTATACCCGCTCTTATACCGCATGTTCATTAATACAGCTCAAACAGCTTCTGATGGATGCATCTGTTCCTCTTTCTGTGCTTTCATTGCAATTCACTGTGATTTAAATTTATTATTTGTTTTTATTATAATTGATCATTTTGCTTAATTCAAACAAATCTAGTCTGCAATTTTATGCCACGAATATATGATTTTATTGTTGAGTAGGGACAAAGCATTAAAAGAGGAAAAAGTTTGTAATGTAATACAAGAACTCATGTGCTTATTTACTGTATATTATATTATATTATATTATATTGTATTTGGCGGCACAGTGGCTTAGTAGTTAGCATTGTTGCCGACTGTATACTCTAAAAATGTGTATAAACAATAAACTAAATTTGCCATAGTGTATTAGTGTGTCTGTGAATGAGTGTATATGGGTGTTTCCCACTACTGAGTTGTGGCTGGAATGGAATCCGCTGCATAAACATATGCTGAAATATATGGTGATTCATTTCGCTGTTGCAACCTCTGAAATAGAGACCAAGCCGAAGGAAAATGAATGAATTATTATATTATATTATATTATATTATATTATATTATATTATATTATATTATATTATATTATATTATATATTTTTCACCAATAATAAAAACACATTGATGTCATATTTTACATGCATTTATTAGATTATTAACATAGCACTGAACAAAATCTTTTTTTGTATTTTATTATTGATGATCAGTGGTGGAAAGAGCAGTAAAAGTACCATTACTTGTCCAAAAATGTAGTGGAAGTAAAGTAAAAGTATCTGATGTAAATATTATTCAAATTATGAGTAAAACATTGTCCTTTTAAAACTCTTTTACTCAAGAGTATTGAGTTGTGAGTATTGAGTATTATGCTGGGAAAGGTTGATGCATTTACATGCAGTTTCGACTGAGATGTGTAAGCTTAACTTAATTCTGTAATGCAATAAGTGATCTTCTTATGCGTTCCTTCCTTCCATTTTTTGCTTATTCTGTCCTTCATTCATTTGTTCGTTCGTTCCTTCCTTCATTCATTTGTTCTCTCCTTCATTCCTTCCTTCCTTCCTTCATTCAATCATTCACTTATTTGTTCGTTCATACTTTTGTTTCTTGCTTTATTTGATCTTTTGTTTCGTTTCTTCCTTCCTTCCCTCCTTCCTTCCTTTCTTCCTTCCTTCCTTCTTTTGTTCGTTTGTTCATTCCTTCCTTCCTTCCTTCCTTCCTTCCTTCCTTTGTTGAGTCCTTCCTTAGAATCTTTCCTTTATTCATTTGGTCCTTCCTTTGTTAGTTCAGTCCTTCCTCTCTTCCTTTGGCCCTTCCTTCGATTCTTTATTCATTCCATTTAGTGATTGTTTAAGGCTGTTTGGATTTCAGTCATCATACAGTCGACTTCATTTTTCATCAGTGACAAGTAGTCTATAAGCAGTCTCTTGGTCATTGCGTGTAAAGACTTTCGTTTGCTGCATTTATAAAGAGCCCATTTCTTGAGGTTGTTGAGTAGGATGTAATTTACTTTCTATGTGCATTTTTTTATTTCACAGGAATCGCAGAAGAGATTTTACTTTAGCCAATCACCATAGACAAGAAAGAATTAAAGTAGTGATTCAATTTGAATGAAAATAATAGGAGTAAAAGTACCGATACAGCACTAAAAACGTACTTAAATGTGCTTCATGTAAATGGTAAAGTAAAAGTACACATTTTCAAAACTACTTATCAAATTACAATCCCTGAGAAAAACTACTCAATTACAATAATTGGAGTATTTGCAATTTGTTACTTCACATCACTGTTGATGATGTACTTTTAAAATTGAACTCAATTTTATTTATGTTAAGAGTGATTTATGTATTTGAATAGCACATAAAAGACTGATCCAGTTGAATCTATAATTCTAACATAAATCAATAGACTATTAATACTATATTATGTTAGAATGTGAACACAAATTGACATTGAAACTGATATATTTAATGTGATGCATGTTTGTCATTCATATATTAATGAAACTCTTAATAATGAAACAAACATTAGATGACACTTAACATATAATAAGTATTGCTTTTGTTTGCTATTTTTAACTGAACAAATTTAATTTAACTGTAAATATTTTTAATTTAAATTTTATTTTTTTTTTTACATATTTACATTTGATTTGCTTAGAATCAGCAGAATGAATATAGTTAAAATATGGTTATATAAGGAACAAACAGTAATCACCCAGTTATGAGATTTACATATAGATTTTTTATTGTGATTATATAAACCTTGTTATCGAGTATAGAAATATACAGCAATATTAACACTTTAGTTTGGGTTACAGTTCATGTTATTAACAAATGATTAACTCACACTAACTTAATAAATTAATTAAACCAATAAGCTGTTTATTAATAGTTAGTAAGGTAAAAGTTGGGTTTAAATTATATGTAGGATTAGGGAGGTAGAACAAGATTAAACTACTAATCAACAATTAATATCTTAATACAACTTTTTCATTTAGTGGCTAATTCGTATGAATTCGTATGATCTAATTCGTACATTTCAGTACGTTTTGCTCATCCTCCAATGAGGGTTGGGTTTAGGGGTGGAGTTAGGTGCCACACCTCCTTTTTAAAATTGTAAACTTTCGTAAGACTGAACTCATACGAATTAGCCACTAAACTGGCAAAATGTAAAATACTTATGTTTTCTCATGAGATCAGGCTGCTTAATAATAGGTAAAAAGACAGTAGTTAATAGCATGAATTGTAACCTAAACTAAAGTGTTAATTTTACTGTATTTTTCAATACTCTATAACAAGGTTTATAATTGCGATAAAAAACTCAATAATGTTTTTCTCAAAACTGGGTGGTTATTGTTTGTTCCTTATATAACCATATTTTAACCACATTCATTCTGCTGATTCTAAATTCTTATGTTTCATTCATTGTGTGACTGAAAAAAATGTTTTACAATACGTTTACTGGTTTATTTATTATAAAATTGCATAAAAAATACGTTAATCTTAAATGTAGACCTACGTTTCAATTTTATTTTAATTCAGGTCAGTTTGACCATTGTTTTTGACATTGAAACGTCTGTGAGTGTGGTCAAATTGACCCAATCTAACCTTGCAGTACATAAATCTCAACTGAATCCTATTAAGTGGAGTCCTCTTTTCCCCCTCTCTCTCTTTCTCTTTGTCCTTCTCCTGTCTCAGCCTATATTTCTGAGTATATGTTGATGTTGACGGCTCAGCCTTCTCGAATCCTTTCGACTGGTCTGAAGGGCTCTCTTAAAGATGTGTTTCAGAGCTGATCAGACCTAAAGTGTTGGGTGTCAAAGTATCATATTTTAGCACTTGGGGGATTTATGCTAAGTTGCGTTTTGCATGGCAAATATATCAGGAGTGGAGCAACCTGTTATTATGGTGAGCTGAAGAGCACTTAAATTGCCCGTCGGATGAGGATTTCTTGAAATTACCTTATCTGTCATGGCCTCAGCGGCTTATGTCTTCTGTTTGCCCTCTGTACTGATCCACACACACTACACTACAGAGCTTCACAATCTGCTCTTTGCTCAAATCTGTGCAATTGCAAACAATGTATTTAGACAGCATAATGTGAGCTGTTGTTTATGTTTTACAGGGGGATCGGAAAGCAAGGATTCCAGTGTCAAGGTAATTACTTTAAATGTGACACACATTTAACCATATTTAAATTTGCTGAACAGATTATGGGACGGCAGAGATTATTTTCTTTAACGTGAAAAGGTTTCATTGGATTATCAAAATGTTCTGTGTAGTATGACAATAAACAGTTTTACTGTTGAAAAAAAAAACAATGATTATGAGAAAATTTCCATAGTTCTTTGGGAAACCGAAAATGATGTTTTTTTCTCTGTGATAAAAAAACGACTTATTTGGTTTTCTGTGAATCTTTAGTAGTTTTTCAGAGAGTTGCCACTGAATATTTTCTTTTCAATGGACATTTTTTCAATAAACCATTTATTTTTACATCGTTTTTAACGTTTTTTTAATAATCTCTAAATGTTTTTATAAATGATACTCTCTCTATATATATGCACAGTTGAAATCAGAATTATTAGCCCCCCTTTGATTTTTATTTTATTTTTATTTTTTTTTAAATATTTCCCATATGATGTTTAACAGAGCAAGGAAAATTTCACAGTATGTCTCAAAAAATTTTTTTTTCTTCTGGAGAAAGTCTTATTTGTTTTATTTAGGCTAGAATAAAAGCAGTTTTGATAAAAAAAAAAAAAAAAAAAACATTTTAAAGTCAAAATTATTAGCCCTTTTAAGCTATATATTTTTTCAATAGTCTACAGAACAAACCATACAATAACTTGCCTAATTACCCTAACCTGCTTAATTAACCTGATTAACCTACATATTTAAGCCTTTAAATGATAAATGAATCAGTTATTAGAATTGAGGTATTAAAACTATTATGTTTAGAAATGTGTTGAAAAAAAATCTCTCCGTTAAACAGAAGTTCGGGGGAAGAATAAACAGCGGGGGGCTAATAATTCTGACTTCAACTGTATATATATAATAAATTATTTTTGTGATTCTTCCTTACTCTTAATATTTTCTACTATTTATTTAGAGTATTCTTTAGAGCAAAACTTTTTTTTGTTCATGATCATCCATAATAGTGTTTCTTGATTCTCAGGTCCTTTATTTTTATAATCTATTTGAGTGCCCCTTTTATGTTTTTTATTTTTATTTTTATATAATAGATTAGGAGGTCTTCATTTGATTTACAGTACATTCATTCAAGGTCAAAAACAATTAATTTTTCCATAAATCCCCCACCAGTAACATAATAGTGCTGTACCAGGTTGGATTGCTTTTTTCTATTAGAACTATCTTCTTTGTGCCATAGTTTCATAGTTTCAAAAAGGTGCTAAAAATATAGATTTTCGTGTGTGGAAAGAAATTGTGGACAAAGTAGATATAAATATCAGCAGACGTCAAATTTGACAAGTTTTCACCTGACTTTAGTGGCGTCAGCAGTTCGTTTGACAGTAAATAAGGATCTAATCCTAAAGTATCTATTTTCTGTAAATGATGTTGCTTTTCGTCTGTGGTGAGGTGTGCTATTTTGGTGTGTGACATCTTTCCGATCACCAAGAAGAAGAAAAAAAAAACCACATATTTATATGACACGATTTTGACAAGATTTTGAAATCATCTGTTCAAAATTATGCTTCCCTGTGTGTCCCATCTGACTGTCTGCACATTTCACATTCAGCTCTGGGGTGAAGGAGAAATTGCCCACAGAAGGCGGGTCTATGTTACAGTTTAGCCAATTGCTATCTTATTTTAATCTATGATATATTTCACATACAGTATATATGTCGAAATAAAGCATAGAAAACAGTTTATACAGTTTGTGAGATGAAAACTCAAAAATATATACATTTTCTTAAAGGTATGCCTCTCAAATTCCTATCTTATTTTTAATACTGATCTTAATTTTAAACTTTTTTTTGTAACATTAATTTTAAAGTAGCCTTGCTACACGTTCAATGTACTTACTAATTTAGTTGCAAAAAAGTATGCACAATTACATGCAACTAACACTTAAATCTAAAATTCATTCTAACCCTAACCATATAGGAAGAACATGTAGCTAATTACTATTACTCAGTACTTAAATTAATAGTTATACTGCAACAAGGATGCCATAAAATGACAGGCTGTTGTGGTAATATAAATGTATATAATCTAGTCAAATTAGCCATAATCTATATATAACTGGAAAGTTACATTCTTTTGTTTAATTAGCCCATTTCATTCAAACTCTAGATAGGGTGTGTTAGATCTTAAAATCCCTTCGTTTCCTGTGCACTGACTTTGCCAAAGTGGTGCAAATGCTAATGGCATCGTCTCAACGACTCTTCTTCTGTCTTTTGAGTAATACTTTCAAGCTGGTCAACTGCCCGGACGCGTTCTGATTCCAGTACACCATTTGCACACTTTGTTTTCATGCTAAAAGGTATTGTGTATGGGTAGTTATATGCTGATGAGATCTGGGCTGCAAAGGCAATTTACCCTGCTGACAACAACAATTCATTTGCTTGCTTTGTTTAGGTTCGTCCCCACCTCTCTGTAAAATGTATAAAAACTTAGTGTCTGCTGTACTAGCTCAGAGTTATTTCGAGGAAGCCACAGCGATGCCAAGTTTCTTATTAAAGGATTCTGCTTTTAAGATACCCGAAAGTTCTCCCTGCTTTTTGGCTCGTCTTAAAATTTCACAACAGTTTTGGTGCCGTGACCCAGATAGAGACATTCACTGCCATATGCTTATTTGTTACAAGAATATATATCTGCATCCAAAATCTCATTGTATGTGAAAAACACTATGTGAGCCGAAGAGTATGCACAAATTCAGAGTATTTTGAAAAACAGTAACCAAAAAGTTTTTGAATGACCTACACTGTAAAAAAAACATTTAAATAATAAAAAAAAAACCTGTGAATTAACAGCTTCCGTATTTTGTGTTTCACGGGTGTTTTCTGTTTATTTACCTTTGTGAATTTAATTATGGGACCTTGATCTCTGCTTTTGATGTTAAAAATTAAACTCTTCAGTTTTACAAAGTGACACTTATTAACATTTTAGTAGTTTGAAATAATGTAATGTATCAAAAATATTGTATAGAGAAATAACTGTAAAATAATGTACTGGCTGGTTTTTACAAGGTTTTTGTACCTTAGTGTACAACAATCCACCCAGACAGAGTATCACTTTAAACTATTAACAAAAGTAATTTTTAAAAAACTTTTCATTGTTAAAAGTTGTTGGAAGTAAGAGCAAGTTCTCATAATGCAATTCAAAAGCATAAATACTGTAAATGGGAAATTAAAAAAATAAATAAAAAACATCCACAAAATATGGAAAATTGCTAATTGATGAATATTTTTATAGCATACATCTTACGCCGAGATTCTAGTGTGCATCTAAAGGACACTTTATTATGCCATAATGCCACACGAGAGAATTTATGAATCGGTGTCAAGTGATACAACTGACACTGATAGGTTGTGTGATTATTAGGGGAATGGCAGATGTAATATGTGCAAATTCTTTGCACTACTCACATTAACCTTTTCTAATAGTTGTGTAGTGAATTCAAATTCAAGTGCAGTACCTACTCCAGCAGTATGTGATTTTGGATGCAGCTTATAGACAGAAGGTTTGTGCAAGAAGTAATACAAACATTTTTGCCACCTCAGACAAAATTTTAATTTATTATTTGGTTTCATACACCCGGCACAATAAGGCACAAGATGCGTATGGCACGATTTGTTGCTAATTTTAGACCGGTTTTGTTTTGCACCACATTGTTTAAATACTTAATTAATTAATTACTTTGTGGACTCATGAGTGTGCCAATCTACAATGAAGGTGTCTTAAGGCGAATTGTTGGCGCGTTGCTATTTTGAGGAACAGAAATAGACTGCGCCATTGACCAACTAAAAGCAGATCTAAAATTCCAGCGCAGAGCGCATTAGTTATGGGCCTATGCAAGTCCAAACGCTTACACATGCTTAATACACATGCGATGGACAGCCATAGAATCACTATATGGTACAAAGGAATAGGACATGTGCTTGGACATAACTCATAACACAAAACTATCCGTTTGCTGGAAATTAGAACTGAATTTAGAAATAGTTTTGAAACAAATCTTTGCGCTTAACAAATGAAATTAAACATGTAGGCTAATGGATGTCTTCTGCGGAGTGCATACAGCACTGTTTCCTTATCTACAAAAGTAAAGGAGTCGATTAAAAGTAAAATAAAGAAAAAAGTAAAGAGGCTAAATGGAGGAGGCTCATTCTTTATCCTTGTGATATGTTCAGTTTTTCCACTGACAAATTCTGCCATGTAAATAGCAAATGTCCCATGGCACGGCACAACTGACTCCTAAAGGGAATGAGAGATGAGACTCTGATTGGTTTAATGCACGTTATGCTCAAAACACACCCACAACTCATTAAGAGAATAAGCACAACCCCGTTAGACCAGGATGCAAAACATATTTTTTCCGTCCCTAACAGGGGAACTTGTTAAATTTGTCCTAAATGATCCAAGGATGTAAATAATAAAATCCAAATGTTAAAGTATCAACTTGATCTAAATATTGCAGAAAACATGTTCTGCTGTTATGACGCTATGAAGATCTGAAAAGTGTTTTGCTAGAGCAATTTATCTTTGATGTTGGATAAGCTAAGACAGCAAAATCTGAGCAAAGCCATTTTTTGACCTGAGTTCAAGTCTTGGCTTGTGGTCCCTTCTGATCCCTTTCTCCCTTCATCTCTCTCTCTCTCTCTCTCTCTCTCTCTCTCTCTCTCTCTCTCTCTCTCTTTACCTTCCTCCCTCTTTGCTATCTGTACAATCCTGTACAAATAAAGGCAAAGGCAGCACAAAATAACACAACCTTAAAAGACCTGTAGCAGTATGACAAACTCCCTCTGTGTAATCTTTAGAAGAGCTTATTTTTGCTGCATTGTGACATTCAAAAGTTTGGGGTCAGAACAGTTTTATTCAGTGAAGACATTAATAACTTGTTTCAGACTACACACTATTTTGTCTTATTTTTTCAAGCAGTTTTGACTCCTAAATTATTGTTGTGGACAAGAACAATG